GCCTCTGCTGGCTGTGGGAGCAAAACCTCAGGGCAGGGGTAGGGGGTGAGGCCACAAGGACAAGGACAAAATGTTTCTCTCTCTCCCTCTCTCTCTTCCTATCTAAAAATCAACAAAAACTTTTTTTTTTAATGAACTGTTAAATTAACAAAGATCAAACTTGACCTAGAACCGAAACTTCATGTTAGTTGTGATGCTGACTGAGATGCAAGAATGAACCTGCCTAAGATTTCAGGGCTAGAAGTTCAAAGTTTAAGGATTTTTGGAACTTTTGCTACAGAAGGCAGCGAGCCCAGCAGCCATAGACAAGGTCAAACTCCAGCTCCTCCCTGACCCACCCTCAGGCCCCTCACAACGGGGAACCCTGAGGGTCTCGTTTTTTTCACTCTGGCTTCGAGAACCCCACCTTTAATTGAGAACATGCCCGTGTGGGTCTCACCTTTGTTCCCCTAGGACAGCTCGGGCACCGAAATACCTTTTCAGTTCTGTGTCTGGATTTAAGTGTCTAGAGAATTGAAAATTTTAAAAGAAAAATGAAATTGAGTTCTTATAACGATTCTGAGAATTTTAGAAAGTCCCATAAAAACCCAGTTGAGGAAAGCAGCTATTCTGGTGTCCAAGATGACTAACGGGCCTGCTTTCTCTACCACCACAGCCCCCAGGCGGGACCGGAGGCCGGCCACCTGTCTCAGCCGAGTGAGGCAGTGAAAGACCTGACTGCATCGGGATTCCCACCAGCTCAGGACCAACCTCTACAGCGGGGACTGGGTTCCAGCATCTACAATCAGGACATCTTACGCCAATCGTGTTCCCACACACGTAAAGCTAACAGCGAAAACGGAGGCTTTCCCCTTTCCTCTTCCTCCTGGTCCCTGTTTCCTAAATGTCCGACCATGTACTTGTATCACCTTTACACAGAGTTATTTTCTTCTGTCCTAATAAGCAACTTCCTTGGCACGCAGTCTGCAGCGCGGGGGGAGGTACCTGTGCTCCACATACAGGACGTGCTTCCTCGAGCTTAGGAGAGGGGGGCTGGGGTGGAGAGAGCCACTGCTGTCCTCAATCCTCTCCAAGATGCGATCAATATCTTCCAGCCCATTTTCCTAAAGGCCCCAAACAACAACATGTTAACCACCACCCTCACTTTGTTTTACATGTTACAACCAATACCGATGGCTCATTTTTACAAAGAACTCATTTTTAATCATGCTTGCTTCCTGAAAGACAATAGGGATATAACAGATTCTTCGTAAGCAGCAGCTCAGAATAGACAGAATCACAGAACCAGAAGAGCCCTCAAATATCTGAACCACAAGGGTGCATTTCTCTTCTCATAGGTGCACTCACCTGCTCAGGTAACTGAGCTGGGACTTGAGATTCTGACTGAACAGCCACAAAGACACAACCTTTTCGGAACAAACATGGGACCACAAGGCACAGGGGCAACATGGCAATATGCTTTCTGCCACACTGCTCCTGGGGCACTTACACCTCAGTGCCCGCTATCAGTCAGGGCACAGCTGCAGCAGGCTGAGGGCTCTGCTGCCCAAGAGCAGCGTTTCAGGGGCAGAGGGGGCTCTAACCCTCAAGGGATGAAGTGAACAAGCAAGCGAAACTGGGTAGGTAACTTCCTTTTCATTTCTCTGACTTCCGGATCAGTTATACTACTAGCAGGAAGGAATCCGAGTATCAAATAAAAACAACATGTTTTCCTGTCCCTGCCAACAGTGCTCTGGACAACATGGTGAGGGCCCTGAAACCCCTCCGACTTTATATAAGAAGCGTGGCAGGCACCAACCCCACAGGCTGGCCTGGGACAAGGAGGGCAGGAACTTGCTGAAACGCAGGGAAAGCGGTGTGGCTAAGCTGATTTCCCCCTAACGGCTGTGCTGAGGCTTCAATGCGTGAAGCCAACCGTGGATCTAAGAGATGCTGGCCGTGAAGACCTGGGAGCATTTTGAACTGGGAGCAGCTAGGAAGAGAAAGGCCAAGGGATCTAAGCTTCACAATCATGTGACATCAGAGTCTGGAGGACGGGTTTGCCACAAACAAACAAAAACACAAACAGTTTCCAACAGCACCCTGAGACGCAGCCAGAGAACAGCGGACAGGGCAGCACCCAGACATACCGAAGTTTCTCCTGCAGAACTTTTCTTATTTTTCTGTTTCTTTTTCTTCTTTCGGAGTTTGCCACTCACATTCGACTAATAAAAGAAGCACATCTTAGTCAATGTAAAGAGGGGATAAGATCTTAAACCCTGAGGATCAAAGCAGGAGCTGCAGAAGGACACCGGACGCAGGCTTGATGTCCCCTCGCTCCCACTTCACGAAGGTCCTGTGACCTCACCGACTTCTCTGACAACGACTACCTCCCACCAGTCCCCCGACTCAGTGCAGCCTCCAGCTTCCTCTCACACCTCTTCCCGACACACCTCAGAGGTCCTGTGACCTGACAACCTCACAGGGTTCTGATATCCACCCATCAGCCCTCTGCTTTCATCACTCACTTTGTCACTCACTCTCCCTGCCACGATCAGCCATGCCTTCCCCTGGCCTCTCCTCCCACCATAGTGTGGAGACTCTTTAGGGAGCCCCTCTGCCCGTTAGATCCGTCTGCCCCCAAGTCTCCCCAGCTGTAGTTGTCAGTCCATCCATGTCACCCTCTCGACCAGAGGCTCCTGTCCCCAGAGCCCAGGAGGTTCCCAAAAGCATGTGTTGAGCAAATGAGCAAAAGGTCCCTGGAGGGACCCTCCGTGTGCCATGGAGAACACAAAACTGACCCGGCCGACACCTCTCTTGAAGGCACATCCATCCAGGGCCGTCCACCCGCCTGAGCCCCAGAGGCACAGTCATGAGGAGGGCACACCCACTGAGCAGGGGGCTCTCCCAAAAGGATCTCCTGCCTGGAAACGTCTAGGGGACCCTGGATGGAGCACCCGTGATGTCCACGTCTTCAAGATGTCATACACATCTGATCACGACTCCCGAGGAAAGGTGGGGGCCACTGGGCATTAACAAGACGGAACTCAGAAATGACAGCAGAATGTGTGTGGCTGGGCACCCTTGTCCCCACACCTGCTCCAGGGGCCCTGTCCTGTCATCCACCTCTCCATCCTTCCTGGGCTCGGCACTTCCACTTTGGGACTTCCTTTTGCTCCCGGACACCACAACTTCTGTGCGCAGACCATCGGACTTCTCCCCGTTCACCACAGGCCCCTCTTCAACGTCCTCAATGTTAATCTGCAGGAACAGAGGGGAGGGAAGAGGGCGTCACATGTCATCCTGTTACACATGCATCCTGAGGTACTGAGAGGCATGTCACTAGCAAGGGCAGAGAGGAGGTGCTGAGGGGCACCTGCAAGGCCACTCTGAGATTGCAGAGGAAGAACAGGGACATGTCATGCCTCAAAGCCCACAGGGCAACCGTCTGAACAAATTCTGGTTCAGCTGATGAGCCACAGAGTGCTGGGGCACAGGTGGCTCATGGTGTCGTATCTTCAGAGCTGGCATAATGCAGAATCCCTGAACAGCACAACTTATTTCCCGCTGAGCGCCATTTGTCTGTCTAGCAAATCCATAAGTCTTTGTTTACGAAAAGAGCACGTCATGTGAAGATGCTGGGATTCTACCAAACGGGGTCTGTCTCCACCAGCAACAGGGCAATTCCTACCTCGGCACCTTCTTTTGTGCGGTGGCCTCAGGACACCAGGGCCCCAGAGTGGTCTGGCTGGTTAAGATCTTGCGGCAAAGGGAGGAAGCTGGAATGAGGCCTCCAGTGGACGCTTCCTCCACACTGGCACACCCCCCCCCCCCGCATTCAACTAATGGTGCCACCAATGCCTCTTGGTGGAGGTGGGCACTGGATCTCTCTCACGAAGTCATGCTCCCTTCCTTTACAAGAGCTTTTATTTTTTTGAGCCCCTTTTGGGACACTGATGGTGTTTTAAGGAATTCAGATTTGTAACAACCTCTATGCCAAGCTCAATCTCAACAGCAAGAACGGTGCTGACTCTATGCCTATGCTGGGCACTGGCACGATGCAGGAGACACAGGTGAGCAAAACACGTGTCACCTGCCCACACAAGGTCAAGGAAGCAAGAACAAGATAAGGCTGACACATACAAGGCCACAGCCTGAGACCTGCGCAGAGACAGGGCTGTGCAGACACCTGCACACCATGTTCCACGTTGTGAGGAGCAAAGGTGAGTGTTTGTAAAGACCCTGCAAGTGCCAGGGCGGAGATAGAAATCAAGGGACCGCCCCACAAGGCTCTGAGAAGGGAAGCCCCGCCCACCAATGGGTGCCCCGCCCCTCGAGTTGACGGACCCCGCCCCCTCCCCCATTGCCCCGCTTCTGGACACTCCGGCCCCACTCCCAGCTGCGGACCGGACCGGGCGTGGCCCCACCCCGTGGCTTCAGGCTCCGCCCCTCCCTTCGCCCCGCCCTCCCCGCTGCAGCCCGGACCCCGGGCGGCCCCGCCCCCTGACGTCACGGCCTCGCCCCGCGCAGACCCGCCCCGCACACCGCGCCCCCATCGCCCCCGCCCCGGACACCCCGGCTCACCAGCTCGAAGCGGTTGTTGACGCGGACCCCCTCCTTCCCTGGGCTCCGGGGGCGCGGGCCGCCTGGTCCCGGCTTTGGTCCTTCTTCTTCCGCGTCATCGTCGTCACGGAAGCCAAACTGGAGGGCGCCAGGCCCGAGGGGCTCCTGCCCGCGCTGCTCCCCCCGCAGCCTCCGGAGGGCCCGGCGTGACATAGGACCCAACGGCCGCTGACGTGCGGGGACAGGGAGCTGACCCGGGAGCAGGAAGGCGAGCCGCAGCGCGCCTGCGCACTGGCGGGGCTGGCGTGGGGCTGCGTGTCGCGCCTGCGCGCCGCGCTCCCCGGAACTTCCGCTCTTTCCAGCTGTCACCGACGGAGGTGCGGGCTGGCCCGGACGTGTTCTCGCGAGAGTTGCGGTGCCGGGACCGCGGCGTCTCCGTGTCTTTGGGAGGGAGGAGGGCCCGCGGCGGCGGCGGCGGGGCTGGGGTGGGGGAGCGGGCGCCCGGGCTCCGAGCCTCCCGCCCCGGGACCTGGGCCCTGTGTCGCGGAGGGACGCGCAGGCGGGGGCTGGGAGCGTGGGGGACTGCGCCCCGCCGGTGACCCGCGGGACTGTCCCCTCGTTAGCCGCCAGCTCATCCAAACCCAGCCGCTCCCCAAAGGACTTCCGGACAACCTCCCGGACAACCCTCAGGCCGGACAGACCGGAACTGCACCCGCCAGGTGGCTTCCTGTACCTCCAGGTTTGGGAACCCTGGTCTGAGGTGGAGGCTCGCCATTCTGTGCGTCATACCTTCCTGGGAGGTTTTCACAATAAACATGAAGGACGAAGGACGAGACATTCCGGGGTGCAGCATTGTCATTTTAGAAAGCTCGTTAGGGAATTAAAATGTGCAGACAGGATTGAGAAGAGCAATCCCCTGCGCTTCCAGCCTAGTGCAAGGGCAAGGTGACTGGGTGTGGGGGGACGGGATTGCAGCCTTGAGCGTGGGGATGGCTGTCACTGTGGAGTCAGGCCCGGCTTCATACCAAATACCTCATATACTGCAAGGTAGGGATCCCCCTTTTACAGGTAAAGAAACGGGACTCAGGATCACCGGCACAGGGAGGATCTGGATTTGCATTCGTGCCGAGGTTCCAGAGTTCGTCTGAGGAAGGCTACTGGCAGGGACAGGGAACGGGAGGCAGGACAGCATGCTGCTCCGCCCGGCCATCAGCCTGCGCTGCTCACTTGGATCTTGAAACACTTCACACCAGCGGCTACATAGTTGCTACCTCAAGCTGCCCACAGTCCCACCGGCTCCAGCCACTTCCCCAGCCTCCTAGAAACCCCGCTGCCTGCGACCCAGCTACTAAAGGGTTATGTGCAGCCCAAGTGGGACCTCCAGGACCCATGTCCATGGGGCAGGCATGAGAGCCTGGTGTCCAGTAGACCTGGTCGACATCCCAGGAAAGCAGTGACCTCATCCACAGGGTGGGATGCCAACAGAAGTCGCCTCCCGGGCACATACGGGCAGGCAGGGCACACAGGTGTCCCTCCAGCCATCATCCTGAAGAGCAGGGCGGAGGTGCCCCTACCCTGTGAACTCCAAGGGATCTTGAGGACAAAGGGTGCCACAGACTGGCCGGTGCAGCCCTTGGTTCCACGTAGGCCTAAAGTGCCAGATTACCAAATTGAGTGTAGAGAATGGGAGTGGGCCTGAGTGCCCTCAACTCATGATGGGCCTCCTGACTCTGTCTGGGGGGTGGGGAGGATGCGGGACAGATGGCCCCTCAGCCCAGCTTCTGCCCTTGGCGAACACACCCACTGCTGTGGCTGGACAGTCCGTAGTTCACGCCCCAGACAGGAGACTGTGAGACCACCTTTATTGGGCCGAGGGCGGCCGTGAAGACACGTTTACAGGGCTCCTCCCGGTAACCAGAGCGAAAGCATCGCAGGGCATGGTGTCGGATAGAGGGAGCTTTGCTTCAGGCTTCCAAAGGGGTGGCCCTGGGACACGTGCCTGGGGGAGTCTCAGCCCACTCAAGCTCCACAGGCACCTCCTGACAAGGGAGCACGATGCAAGCAGGAGGCTCCAGTTCACCCGTGGACAAGGCGCCCTTCCACGCCTGGACATCTGCCCAAGGAGCGATGGAGAACACACAGGGGCAGGGTCTTCCCCGAGCCCCACCATCTCTCGCTTCTAGCCTGCCCCCCTTCCTGTCCTAGGCCATCCCCACGCCACCCAAGGAGTCCTGAGAGGAAACAGCCTCCCTGCGGAGGGTCCAAATGGGCAGGGGCCAGGGAACATATAAATATATTGCTGTGTATATGTTATATAAATGTATATGTATATATGTATATATGTACATGCACACTGCGGAGGCAGCTGTGGCCCAGGATGGGGCGCACTCAGCCTGTCCAGAACAGGCCCAGCTCCTCCCCGAGGCCTGGCCACCTCAGGTAGCCTCGGGCTGGGTAGCCGGGGCTGTCACTTGAAGTCGAGAGTCCAGGTGCTGGGGAGGTACAGGGACTGGGTCTGGCGCGCACGGCGAGGGGTGGTGTTAAGGGCGTCCACGCTCTTGCGGCTGGAGCACACCACGTCGGCCACGAAGCTGGTGCAGTCGCTGCAGACGTCCTTCAGGACACAGCCGTGGGTGTACATGTGCGGGAACTCCTCCTCCACGCTCTGCCACTGGGGCCTCTGCAGGGACCTGGCGGGGGAGGAGGGACAGGGACGTCAGGGAGGCCCCCCGCCCATTTCTCCACGTCCACAAGCCCTCCCCCTGCGTCAGGCACGCAAGGTGTTTAGAACGAACATGCCGAGCAAAGTGCACCCTGGAAAGGCTCTTCCTGGAGAGGTGCCTGCGTCCCGGGCCCTCACCACCCACATGGTTTCCACCTCCTGCCACTCAGCCCCCAAAGCCCTCCCAGAGTCTGCGTCTTGTTTCCTTGGGGCATCCCAGGAAACAGGACCCTCCCCATGCCAGCTCCGGGGGCACCGGCATCGCCTGGCATGTGTTGGCAAAGGCACGCACTGGAAGGTGTCTCTCCGCGGCGTGGCTGTGGCTCTGGCCGTGGTCACCCTCGGAGAACCCTCAAAGCCCAGCGTGTAGACGGGGATGTGGGCAAACTTCTTGGAAGGCATCTTCATCTGCAGACAGAGGGTGGCGGGTGGACAAAGGCGTCCCTAAGGCAGCCCAGGCACACTCGGCTCCCCCTCCCGCCTCCTTCCAACACACACCCAGCCGCGCCTGCTCAGATGCGGGCACGGAGCAGGCGCTGTGTGCTTTACACCATGCAGGGTCTAGCGTCGGGCCCTGTGTACAGCAAATACCTGACGGGTAAGGTGGACACATCCCCGGCCACGTGGCCGGATCTAGTCAGAATCTGAAAACAGTGGTGATGAAAACCCCTCTGAAGCAGGTTCCTGTTTCTGGGCTAAGGCGCAGTGAGGGGAAACACTTAAACGTGTCACTGCCCGCTGACCTCTGTGCACGTGTGTGTACGCTGACACCTGAGCTGCTAGAGAGAGCCTCCAAACACACTCAAGGTGGCAGGGTCAGAAGCTAGGATTCTTGAGGGGAAGTGCAGGGTTTCTTGGCACTGTCCTGCTAACATGGAAAGCTAACAAAAGGCACCTACGAGGGTCTTTTAAAACTGGTCTCGGCAAGTGTAGGAATGGATTTTGCCTGGGAGGAGGAGGTGGGCAATGCAAAATGAAGGTGGTGCCATCTGACTGGAGACTGCAGCACACACACACACACACACACACCCCCACCCCGAACACCTAGATGCCTAGAGGCCTCGCTTGGCCCCACGTGAGCCTCACCTTTACGCTGCAGGAAGTGCAGACGGCTCTGGAAGGGAAGAGGAAAGGCGTCAGCCCGGAAGAGGCCCGGGAGGAACGGCTGCTTCCGCGTAGGTGCCCGCCAGTGCCTTGTGGTCAGCTGCCCTGGCCGCCTGCTGGGCCCCTGGTCACTTCAGTACCCGCTGGACTCCCAAATTCTGCTTTTCTTTTTACTTCGCATTACACCCACAATATTTCTGCCCCTCTTGGTTCTTCTTTAGAATATCGGGTCTGGAGTTTTTTTGTTTGTTTATTTGTTTTAAAATATATCTTATTGATTTTTTATTGAGAGGAAGAGAGAAGGATAGAGAGTCAGAAACATCAATGAGAGGGAAATACCAATCAGCTGCCTCCTGCATGCCCCCTACTGGGAATGTGCCTTAATCAAGGTGCATGCCCTTGACCAGAACCGAACCTGGGACCCTTCAGTCTGCAGGCCAATGCTCTATACATTGAGCCAAACTGGCCAGGGCTGGAGTTTGCTCATACCCTCCACATGTGTGTGCCTGACCCTTCCCACCTCAGAAACCATCGGAGCCAGAGGGACCTCCATTTTAAGCAGTGATTAACATTTTTTTATTCCCCCCACCTGATTTAAAACAAAACAAAACACTTTCTTGTGGAAATCTGAACATTAGAATTTTAATTTAGACAATGGGATCCTCTCCTCTACAGCCCACTCCTCACAGATGGTCCCTGCTAGCAATACAGTCTCCATTCTCCTCATGTAAGCGTATGTTAACAAAAGGTGCACCAGGAGCTGCTCCACATTAGTACAAATTGTCCAAATTCGTTTTTTATGCCCAGCCGGCGTGGCTCAGTGTTTGAGCATCGACCTATGAACCAGGAGGTCAGAGTTCAATTTGCAGTTAGGGCACATGCCTAGGTTTTGGGCTCGATTTCCAATAGGGAATGTGCAGGAGCAGCCAATCAATGATTCTCTTTCATCATTGATGTTTCTATCTCTCCTCCTCCTTCCTCTCTGAAATTAATAAAAATATATATAGTAAAAATTTTTATTATTATTATATTCCACTCTGGCCCATGAATTACATTTTCACCATGGCTGGTGGGAACAGACACTGTTCATGGTACTGTTCCTTTAAACCTTTAGGGGAGGGTCAGTGAACTTTTCCTTTAAAGGGTTATGTAGTAAATATTAGGTGTGAATAAATAATGAATAGCGAGTAAACAAATGGGAGTGACTGTGTCCCAATAAAACTATTTACAAAATAGGCAGTGGCTGTGTTTGGCCCAAGGGCTAGCATTTGCCAATCCCTGCTCCAGGATGATTCTTCCAAAGCCTTCAGTCATGCCCTAGCCAGAGGATAGAACATTGGCCTGCGACTAAAGGGTCCCGGGTTCGATTCCGGTCAAGGGCACATGCCCGGTTGTGGGCTTGATCCCCACTGGGGGCGTGCAGGAGGCAGCCAATCGATGATTCTCTCTCATCATTGATGTTTCTATCTCCTTCCCTCTCCTCTCTTCTCTGAAATTAATAAATACATATAAAAAAGCCTTTAGTCATTTCCTTGCATGTATGTGCTGATCGATTATCTGCTGAATACTCTAAAGGGACCTTCTGCATGTCTGGCTCGCTCTCCGGACAGCTCTCTCCTCTCTGGACTCTTTGCTGGGGTCTCTGGTGCCCTGGTCTCCCTGAGTTCCTTAGGCTTAGGGAGCCGACCAGTTTCTGACCCATGGCCTAGCATCTCCCAGCAGTTGAGGCAGTCACAGGGCTAACCCAC